TAAGGTTAAGTTAGTTCTTACTAACTAATAACAATACCTTACTAAAGAAACAAACAAAAAAGGTAAAGTAAGTAAAGAATATAGTACGTAGTAGTAGTATATATATATATATATATATATATATATATATATATACATGGTTTCTTAGTAGTAATCATTACACGATAATCAATAGGGAGCCTGGCATTATAATTTTGTAGGAGAATGTCTTCCATTTTGATGTTAGTATGCACTGATAGTGGCTCTGGATAGTAGATAGTCAAAGAGAGGTGTACAACACTGTGGCTGCCTAGTGTGTGTTAAGAACTCGATTAAAGCTAGGTCAGGATTGTATGTATATATATATATATTCATGGTTTCTTAGTAGTAATCATTACACGATAATCAATAGGGAGCCTGACATTATAATTTTGTAGGCGAATGTCTTCCATTTTTATGTTAGTATGCACTGATAGTGGCTCTGGATAGTAGATAGTCAAAGAGAGCTGTACAACACTGTGGCTGCCTAGTGTGTGTTAAGAACTCGATTAAAGCTTGTTGTTTAAACTAGTCTCGCACAGTTGCTATTTCTGTAATACTACTACACATTACCTGTCATAAAAATGCACAAATGATGCTACAAGCAGCTGATAAGAATTGACCTTTTGATAAGTTATTATAGTCAACATAGGGAAATAAAATATAATTTCTTTCTGTGCAGTCCTCATATATAAAGAAATGGTAGTGAAATTTCATGAATTTCTTTGTATAAATGTATTTTGTGGGTTTCTTTTACAGATTATTTACAAAATATTTTTGGAACTACTTTTAAAACTCAATTTGTGTTTTCTTAATGTGTCATTTGTGATTATTGTATTTAATGTGCTTGGAATTGATAATATATTTGCCAGTGCAACCATAAATAAGAAAAATATAAGTCATGCTTTATTACTATATTAAATTAAACATTTAACTACTTGTTGTAACACAGTTCTTCAGGTTTTATAAATACATAAAATCATTGTTTTTATCATCCCCCATAATTGTTCCTTAAAGTTTTATGTAGATATTGATCAGTGGAATAAAATCATTGAGCAGTTAGGAACTCCTTCCCCCGATTTCATGAGAAGACTCCAACCCACAGTCAGAAACTATGTGGAAAATAGGCCCAGATATGCAGGTTACTCTTTTGAGAGGATGTTTCCAGATGTACTTTTTCCTGCCGACAGCTCAGAACATAGTAAATTGAAAGGTAACGTTACATGATTAGAGTGAAACTTGAGAAACATTTTTTTTTTCCTCTTCTAAGAGCAATGCAAAATTTAATTTTAATTGTAAAAATAATAAAATATTTGGATACATTGTGACCATTAAATTAATTTTTAGTTTTTTCATATATGGTGTTACTTTCTCCAAACTAATGCCATCATAAAAGACATTTTCTCAATAAATATTTATCATTAATTGAGTGAATTATGTTATTGAAAATTGATCATAAGTTAAAAGTATAATTGAATACTCATTTGTTGATAAACAGCAAGCCAGGCTCGAGACCTATTGTCTAAGATGTTAGTAATTGATCCTGAAAGAAGAATATCTGTTGATCAGGCACTCATGCATGCATACATTAACGTTTGGTATGAGGAAACTGAAGTCCATGCTGTAAGTATGTGGTTAGTGATTGTTAAAATATGAATACAGAGTACTTTCAGCTCTCAAAATTTGTTCACATTTTACAAACTAAGAGTTGTATATCTCCTTTCTAAAGTTTTATAACAATGTATAATATGATAATGTACCCTTCAACCTCTTAAAACTGCCTTCTGATAAATCATGTGTTGTGATTGAATTAGTTACTTAAAGTTAAGTATTTTGAAAGAAGGAACACCTTTTATGATTTTCAATTTGTTGATTCCAGTACATATTTTTTCCAGTCCATCTTAACCATGAGAGGTCCTTTCGAGATAATCAAAATTACTTCAATGCCTTTTTTTTTACCATCCCCATTTATTATCTTTCATAATGATAGTTTTGAACTTTTTTTTCCCCCCTTTAAAATTTGTTATAACCTGAGAAAAAACTTGGAAAAATGAGTAAGGAAATAAAGCAAATTATTTATAACAAAATAACTACATTAAAAATTAGAAAATACATTTGTAATACCAGTTCATTCATGTTTTACTGACTATTAAGTATTATGATTTCTTTGATCACTTTCTATTTGATATCCCATATTATTCTTATCATGTACTGAAAAGGTTGTAAAGGTGCAGTACTGATTATATCAAGCTGGCTTGCCAAAGTATCTAATTGGTCACTTTAATAATAAAATGTAAAATAACTATTTCCACAGCCTTTTAACAAGAAGTTTATGGCAATTTTACTAAAAAAATTTTATAATCAAACTTTTTTTTTCTGGTCAACTTTGTGAACAGTGTTTGACAAAAGACCATGTTTTGCTAGCCTTATTTTACGCATTATTTATTTTATGATATTAGTTAAAGAAAATGAAAATATGAAGAAATCTCTACATCCACAAGTACATCTACAGATTACGTTTGACTTTTTTTCAAATGAAAGACAGGATCCCAGTAGTACTTTAGTGCATGAGATTGATATAAGCAAAGATATCTTACATCAACAATCAACCTTTATTGGTCCATGTAAAAGTACACATCACAGCTTCGAGATATATAAGGTTAACTGTTATCACTTGACTTTGTGCTAACTCATCAGTACTGTATTATCATCTTCAGGGCTTACTGTGAAGTAATCTTCAGTGTAAAATAAACACAGTTACTTAAGAAACTTTAGCCTGGATTAAAGTAGTACAAATAACTTTACCCATAACTGATGCAAAATTCAGAGTTTTCCTTATTTTTATTCATTGTCTTTGGATACCAACTTTGATAGTACAAAATCATTAGCATTTCAATTATGAAATTTTTAGTTCAAATTTCAAATCAATGTTTGATTTATGCATTGATATAACAAGGAATTGTAATAAAGACATCCATTTAAATCTGTTCTGGATGAGAACATCTGAAAATTTCCATTCCGTGGGATTAAACGTTTGTACAGTTATCTAAAAGTTGGGCCCCCCCCCAGTGGCACAGTGGTATATCTGTGGACTTACAATGCTAAAACCAAGTGGGTAGAGCACAGATAGCTTTTGTGTAGCTTTGCACTTAACAACAACAAATAAACTAAAAGTTGGATGTTACATCATATATAATTCTAGTGTTTAAAGAAAAAAATATTTGACTGGTTTTATTAGTTTTTGTGGGTTTTTTTTGTAGCCTGCTCCAGGCCCCTATGATCACTCTGTTGATGAAAGAGAACATACAGTGGAGCAATGGAAAGGTGTGTTAAAGCATTTCCTAAGTACTACTGTTATACTAATAGATAGAAAGCCATATAAGTGACTAACTGAACTTTATTTTGCTGGTTAGCTGTTAAAGATCATCCTACATCTTTTGTACCTTCATATTGCTTGATATTATCACATCATATTCAGTTCCGATCAGAGAAAGCTATTATAGTGAAATATTAACCTTGTAATGAGTATAGCTAATGAAATATACTTTTCTTACATTCTTACTTAATGTCATATTTTAAATCTCAGTTATCCTCATAATTTCATTCTGTTATGCATAATTTTGTACTAAAGCTGTGGTTTAAATGTTCACATTTTACCTCATTTTCAACCTGCTTAAATTGTATTTATATATGTATGTAGTGCCATGTTTTCAGTTTATGTTACATGGTAACTTAGATAGGCAATATGAATGTGTAACTTGGTTCAGTTATCTTTCTTATTCTTTCAGTATTTCATTTGTTGAAAGTAGAATAGATTCTTCTATGATGTCACAGGTTCATGTGTTTAGACTGTGATGTACACAGGGTAATAATGCTAAACTATGTTTGGTACTGTCTTTTTTATATTTCATGCATTTATAACTTACACTTTTCTTGGACCTGGTACATGTATATTCACAGCATTTGTGTACTAAACCATGTTACATATTTTAATTATGGTGTTCCAAAGTTAATACTTAAATTTTATAACATCCTTTCAGGATATTACTTAGTTTTAGGAACTTGTACACAATCAGAAAGCATCTACAAATGGTATCAGTTCAACCTTATTAATTCCCAATAAGGCATAAAGTGAATGGTTCAGTAAGGTACAAAATGTTTGTATAACGTCTGTTATAAAGGTTGGTTTATTAGTTTACCGTAAGATATAAAAGATGTATCATTAATTTCAACTTAAAATTAATATCACATTTTTTTCAGTGATATGTGAAGCATGTGGCATGAAGAAAGATAGTAATATCATATCCAGTTCTTTCATTTTGTGTTGGCCCCCAGTGGCACAGCGGTATATGTGCAGACTTATGACACTAGAATCTGGGTTTCGATATCTGTGGTGGGCAGAGCATAAATAGCCCATAGTGTTGCTTTGTGCTTAATTTCAAACAAAGAAACAAATCATTTTGTGTTGTTTCATTTAAAATGGTAAAAACGTTAATATTTTCTATAAGTTGACTGTAAATTTTTATCTGTTTATTTATGTATGTCTCAATTACAGCACTTATTTATGAAGAAGTTTTGGAATATGAACAAACACACAATACACTGGGCCTATCAATAACTCCACACCACAACTCTCAAGCAGGTAAGTGAAATGAAATGATTGATTGCCAGTTTTTCTTCTCTAGACTTGTTTTAACTGTTTCTTTCCCTCATAACATCTTGGTTGTTATTCATGTAACTTTCTTATGGATGATGAACTTGTCTCATATGATGTTACTTGTAAGACTCTTACACTAGAAGTATGTAAAAATCATAAAACTCTTCACTCTCAAGGACAAATGGGTATTTTAAATTTCAACAAGGTATCACATCAGTACTTTCAGCTCTGTTTTATAAAGTGATGTTTAATCAAAACTGCTACATCTATTTAAATAAAATTAGTACATAATTATAGTATTTTGGTACTTGTTTATAAAGTTAAAATCATAAATAATATTCAACGTTAAACTGGTACACAATTAAAAACATTTTATTTAGCCTATCTTTGGCCTTCAAAAAAGTTGATGACTCTACATGTTTCGACGTTACAACGTCATCC